CAGGATTGTCAGCCTAGCTTCTGCAAAGGCTATCCATATATCTAACATATACAAAACTCTTCAACGACTAGCTACACCCATGAGTTTTATAGCATCCATATAGGTAAATGTTTAGATCCTCTGAGCGATTGTTTGGATATACAGATGCAAAAGCAAACACATCCGATGGTAGATGGTTTGATTTGTTAATCAATCTCCGTAATCACAGCTTTTGTTTATTTGAGTGACTTAACACAGTGCCAAATTGTTTTTCTGAATGGCTAGGCAAATGCGTAAACTGCAATTAATTTTGATAAAGGGAGAGAACCAATTTTTAACACATTGACGACAAAGTGACCCACGTGGAGGGTCATGCAATGTTTGCCACCTGGGGACAGTGTGACCCACATGGTGGGTCAAGGCTTAAATTTTGTTAAGAGACCACTATTTTGTAATACATTCGTTCCAGAAGTTCCCTTAATGTTTCTCGCCTGCTTTACAGAATAACTGTAGGTATACTGTAGTTGTCGATCTGCATGTGTTTTTTTTCTCCGTGGAGGGCATTGTCCCAAGAGACAGCCAGCTAAAAACGCACGTTGTCGTCAACGTGTTGAAAGAAAAGACATAAAACTAAGAAAAAATTTTTTTTCTGTTTTGTTAATGAACGGCGGCCAAGATTGCCAAGATTGTCTCTAGAAAGTCGAACTTGGAGGCTGTTAAAAGAATGATTAAGAAGAATCATTAGAAGTGTAGTTGTGAGTCGCCTTTATGGGTTTGAGGTGAACGTAGTAGATACTTTTAGTCTTCTTAAGCACTTAAACATAATAATCTAGCTTTACATCAAAATAATAGAGCACATGCGTTAACAGACTGCAAATTTTCTGATTTATATCGATTTTGGACTTTGAAATGTAACCATTTCTTTGATCTTTTGAACTTTTATTTGTGCCATTTTCTACGTTTGAATGCAATGCCATCAATGGGCAATCCCATCATATCGAAAATGGTCTTCCTGTACACATTTTCGTCTCCTCCCATATGCCCATTTTGAACAGTTCGCTTTCTCTTCTCATTCCCTACCCCTTGCCTATTGTGCGAGGTATCCCCCCTCCACCCCTCCACTTCCCCCGATTTTTGTTCCGTTCGCGAAATAACGTTGATCCACCTAAGGCACCGATTGTTTTGCAAAAAGTCGAAATCTGCATACCGTGTTGAATACATTGACTGGTCAGAATGCACTACGCTTCTTCATCTGCGAATCATGATTTTGATAATTCGAATATTTGTGGATGAGAGACTGTCTCGTAATTGGGATTTTCAGAAAAAAAAACTATGCGAATTTTATTAATTTGAATGCTCAATTTTTCTAGATCGGTGTGTGATGTTTTGAAAAATCTTCTTCTTCTGAAAAACTGGAAGCCAAAGTCAGCGAAAATGAGCGCATCGTTTGGATTACGTTGGAAGTGAATTAAATTCACAAGGAAAGAAGAATACAAAATTGAGCAACGAAATTGTTTCAGATATTTTTTGGTATATATCTACTTCTAATCTCTGAGAACTTTGGGCTTTACAGCAACAGAAGCAGGATTTAAAAGTAAAAGTCGTAAAATAAAGTGAGAGGGCCAGAGCTTTCTTCGCCGTTCTATTTGCGTTCATAAAATTTTGTTTACATCCGCATGAATGAGTTTGGGAAGTATTTTAGGTTCAAAATTTTGAAGTTCGCTCACATGCCCAGGTGTTCGCATGGTTTTCGAAGTCATTTTCAATCTTATATAGTAGTTATTATACTGTAATCCGGGATTAATGGTTCTTCGGGGTCCAATTTCATATCCTGTCCTTGATTTACAACATTGAGCTTCTCGATCTTGCATAATCAAGCCCACAAACCGCGTTGAAAATATTTATTGCTCCTTTCTAGGCTACTCGAGGATTCTTTGCTTTCTTTCGCTAATTTTTTTTCGGCAATCTGACCTCTGACTAGTACAGCCAGCAATTATGCTGGCCGTGTAATATCTCATATGCTGAAAAAACTCGTTTTTGATACTTCAAAGTTTTTCCATCCATTCTGAGTTACATGGGAAAACTAAAATCAGCATAGGTTTTTTTCTTTTCTGAAAGAAAAAAGAGTTATGCAAAGAATTTTTCTTACGTGGAATGCTGTAATGTACTAACTTAACAAACAGATCTTAAAAAAATTCTTCTGCAAATTCAAGCTAGGGAAGCTAAATATGCTGTGAATTGATAACACTATAAAAGCGTAATCATAATCTAAAGTCTGAAAAAATTCCTTGCACAATGACATATGTGGAGATAAGGTAGAAAACTAAATACGCAAGAGAGTAGCCTTCTTTTTTGCTATTGACCAATTTTTTGGGATTTTATGATTTTGTTTTCGGAACTTACACACCCACGAAAAATGTTTTTTAAACCGAACATACATAGTACAGCAGCCTAAATTTGGCTGTGGATTTTAGCTACCTCCATTTTGTAGAGGTTACGAGAGTCATTATGCCCTTCAGCAAAGTCTATATCACACCCCTTGATCTCCCATCCACCTTTTAAAAATTTAAAAAGAATTTGAACCCGTGCTGTGGTTTTCTTTTTGTCCGCCAAAAATTTCGTAAAATTTTTATTGCCTACTGTGCTCTTTAAATTCCACGTCCTTCATTTTGATTTACTTTTGCTTTCGGCAGCCTCCGAGTGCTATTTTAGGAAAAAATGATGGCTGGCTTCTAAGGGACAGGTCTCGGATTTCTAGGCATAGGAGTAATGACAATTTCCGTGGGAAGAACTATAATATTTATAATCATGGAATCATAATTGCAGCCATAAGTCCAGGCAAACCCATTATATGCTTGAGATGTATATGGGTAAGTATTTTAGAACCAAATCTTGAAGAATCTACCATCCTTGTCTCCTCCTAAACCAAAGCCTCGCAAAGCAAGGCCTTCGTCACCCAGTAACGTTCCTACTTTTCGCAAACTTATCAACTACGGAGTTTAGTTATTTTGTATTCCCAAGCATCCCTTGCTGTTGCCCCTCCCCACCCCCGTACAACAAAATGCCCATGAACTGGAGTCAAAGGCGTCACCACTGAACCAACTGTCATAAAATCTATGTGACTTTAAGCGAAAATTCGGATTTTACTGCGACATCCTCAGATTACGATGCCCTATGTGACGTCATGTGTGATACTTTTGAGCTCATGGGGAGGGGGTAAAAAGTTCTGGATTTGTGTTTAGATGATGACACCTTGGGATTATTCTGGATTGTTACACTATGTACGATACTGAACGTTTTGTGGCTGACGCAAAAGAATCAAGTGAAGGGGCCCTCTGGCAATTGGAACTGTGAATTATTTGTTCCGTTTCCGCCCACGGCCCCACGCCCTCTTTTTTGTCTTTTGCTCGTTTGCGGAAACTATCCTCATTGTTATCACTTACTCATATTGTAACGTTCGCAGTCTTACTCGGTTTACGAAAAATGAGAGAGGGTGAGAAGAAAAGAAAATCTTGAAGATTTTTTTATTTAACTTGTCATTTATTATTAGATTTCTATCCCTCGGGCATTTTTACCGTAAGTGTCTCCTTGCAGTTCAATCAGTTTAGCGCTTAAAATATGCCTGTAGAGCGCAAAACTTGAAGTTACGCGCCTAGGGGCCTTTCTTAGGCGCAGTTGTTCCATTGTTTTCGTGCCCGATTTCTTTCTCCTCCTATCCCCCCTCTCCCCTCGTGGCAAGGCAGATAGAGTTCCCTGCAGAATTTCCGTTGAAAGAAATGATTCATCCTTTGCAAATAAGCTTTCCAGGTCTCCGGGTCGTTATCGCATGCACACACAGAACTTACCCTTGCGGATGATTTTCCAACACTCCTGCTGATAACCAAGCATTGGCATCCATAGCATTCCACATAAGTGCCGAAGGTTTTGCGCCATTTATCGCGGAGAGGGGGAGGAGGGGGGGGGGAATGTGAAGTGGAAGGGGAGTGGCTTGCACGGCGTTGTTCTGGTTCGTGGGAAATGTCAACATTTTGGTGTTGGCCGAATTTGATACGGTTGTTCGGACAGTACGAATCACTTTTTTCTTTTATCAAATTATTTGATCATTTGTCACATAGCTTCGTCCATAAATATACTCATTCTCATTGAATTGGCATTCATAATTTTTTCATCATTTCAACCATTCTCACTCAATGTTCTTTATTCACTCCATCATGTTATTTAGAGCAAATAATCGTCTTGATTATTCGTTCTTTGCAAGTAAATAGGAACGCAAGAAATTCAATGTTTTTGCCTGTTTTTTACATTATTCGGTTTCGGGGCTTAATTATTTGAACCAAACCTTATCTTTGGTTCATGCACCCATTCGCACTCAAAACTCCTCATTTACATATTGTATTTATTAAATTTATTAGCAAGATCTCTTAAACAGTATTCATTTGATGATGTTTATATTCCCTTGTTAGGTCTGATCTTTTTTTACATCCTATCGCTTAGTACATACTACAGCTTCATGTATGCTCACTCTGTTTCCTTTTCATTCCGCTTTCAGTAACTCGTGCTTTTTTGGCTTTGTTTTTACACTGGAATGCTTGAATTTTTCTTTTCTTCGGCTCATCTGTGTTTTGCATTGTGATGCTTCCGTCTTTTCTCCTCACACCTCTGCAGTTCTGCTTTATTTTCCTCATTCGTAGATTCATTTCTATGTTCTTCAATCTGTTATCTAATGCAACTAAGTGATTTCCTGGACTTGAAAACATGTTGATGGATGTGTCGCGCCCACGCATGTTTTGTTTTTTCATTAGTTGAATGAAGTTATTCTTGATTTGTCACATATCTCAGGAATTTTACCGCTCTTGGGCTTTCCCACTCATCATCTTCTCTTTCTTCGATCTATAGGAATCGTAAGATTTCACGAGTTTCTTTCTCGGTTCTTCAGTAAAAATGTTTAAAGGTTTCCTTTTCAGATAATGCTAAGCAATAAGCTAAGAAGATTATTTGCTAAATTAAAAGTGGAAAAAGACATGAAAATTCAGTCTATATCGAAGAAAAAACTGCAGACAAAGAAAAAGCCCACGGTCGAGCTGCCTGACAATGTTTGGTTAGTCTTCGATTTCCCTTTTTCCTAGCCCTCTTCGCTGCTCAAATGAGCTTAACTTCTCTCTGGGGAGTTCGTACATCAGCTGACATTGTGAAACACTCGATGGCGGAAAAGATGCTTCATTTTCGTTTGCTCGGAGTAGATAGCTTTCAAGAGTAAAGCGGAAGAGGTGCTCGATCTTTGGGCAATGATCTAAGAAATGGGAAGCCGATGTACCCAAAAGCAGCGATGTTTACCGAAAGCACTAATCGGAAATGTTGAGTTCGGGCGCGCTATTTGCAGAGATTTTGGGCTCGAATGAGCAGCGATGTGCGGTCTTTGGAATGTTTGCATAAATAAATGTTGCTAGGTGCTAGATGTAGAATATAAAATGGGAAATACCGTGAATTCAAAACCTTGTTGACAAAAAACAGTCTTGATCATTTCAGCTCGTTTGTTTTACATCACCAGCGATATTCGGCGTTATAATGGAAGATGACATTCCCGTCCTGAAACAACAGTTACTTGGTCAAAAAAGCTAAAGTTGGAGTGGGGTTGCAGCCTGAATCACTCTAAAGATGCTTGCACCACATGATCAGTCTATGTAGCACATCTCCTTTTGACAAAATCAAACTGGACTATTTCGCTACAGTAAACATTTTTTACTGTATGGATACGGGATCAGCTTTTGGTGCTTACCTTATTCACAGCTGTTTTAAAACATCGACTATTTGGCCAAAATCTGGAGTCTATACCGTTGCTGCTCGCAAATAAATTACCGTAACACTATCCTCTGCGCAACCCTCACCTTCGAATTTTTGGATAGTACAGAAAAATAAGTTTCTGTATGTTCACGTTAGCAATCTTTTCTGGTTCTTCTCTTCAGTAATCTTTTTGGAACAATTGTTTGCTTAAAGCCCCAAAATCACAATTCTATCAATTCACCTTATCTTCGAATCTAATATATGAAGAATCACAACGCCAATTCAAAAATCATGAAATAGCGGGAAACTGCGGCGCGGTTCCGAAGCGCGCGGATGCAAACCTAGCACCTCTGATTACTGGCTCCCTGGTATTATATAATAGAAGCATTTTCCCGAGAAAACGAAGGCATCTGCATACCTGTTTTGACATAGCCTTCTTGGAACAGTATTTCTTGGCAAAAAACTTACGGTGAAATCTATTGGAAATTAGTCTAAATGCGCACATACCTCGTCACTAACCTACCGTAACCATTTCCGTTTTAGGAACCTCATCTTTGACTACTCGTCACCGTTTGATGTAATAAAATGGCGACGAGTCAATAAACAATTCAAACGCATTAACGATAGTCGTGTAAAAAGGACGCTTTACCTAGACGTGTTGAGAATGGATATCACACAAATACTGCCGAAAGGAGTTATGGGAGATGGTAAGTTTGAATTTTACTTGTTTTCAGCAGGTATTTTGATCAAAATAAGCGAGATTATTGATGTCTAGAAATTGTTTTTCAAAATTTTGAATTTTAGAATTAGCAGCATGTGATGGACTGAACTATAGTAGTAGTTTTGAAGCACGTGCCATAGTGTCTTCCACTCCAAAAATAGGGATTTTATTGAAATAATCCTCGAAAATAGTTCAATCCGCTTTGTCGCCACCTTCGACTAAAATCGCTAAATCGACAAAAATCATATTTGTCAAGTATATCTATTTCTATTTCTTTTTGCTATATGAGTGAATTCCCTCAATCACATTTTATCCCCGCTGTCTTGGCCTGCCAATTTTTTGCGAGGGAGAGGAGGGGGTAATTGTGCATCGTTAAATTGCATTATAGTTTTATTATTGCGCTATCAAAGGCATACGTAGCTGTTTATCTAAGCGTGTAAACCAGTGCTTAATGGTTTTCGGAGAAGTTTTGATGCAAGAAAAAAATCACTGTTGAGGAATCATGATAAGGCGCTAGTTTTTTCTTGATATTCCAATGCTACTTGTAACATCTAAGGGCAGTGAATTGGACCAAAGTATAGAGGTAAACTTATCTAACAGGGTGTCTCACCAGCATACGCTATGTAGATCTATCCCTCTATTTTCTTTATGTTGATGATATTTGTATTTTTGAGACACTGCTTATTGTACAGTGAGACTGGTAGCATCGTGAAAATCAGAAGCTAGACGAGTATAGTGTAAGTATGACGAACATATTACAAGATTTGAGTTGAGTGTGGAGAGCAGGGAGCAAGTAAGTTAATGCAATTATCCATGTTGTGAAGTCAAAATAAGCGAGGATCGGGTGGTCTGAACTTATTTTTCGAAAATTTTGAATTCGTTTTGGCATGCGATCGGACGCTAGTAGTTGTTATTGGGGTGTGCGCCGTAGCAAATTCCACTTCAAAAATAGCGATTTCATTAAAAAAAAACCTTGAAAATCTTATAATCCTTTTGCCGCCATCCCGTCAAAATCGCCAAATCGCCTCAAAAAATCATATTAAGTCTAAGTATTGCTACCTAAGCGGATTACCTCAACATTCAATCCTCTTTGACTTCGTGTACCCTTTTTTTGCGAGGCGGGAGGAATGAGGGGGGGGGGGGAGGAGAGAGAGAAGAGGGGGGAAGGGCGGACAGCGGCATTAAAGCTGTTTTTATTACGCTAACAAAAGCTTGCTTACTTCCTTATCATACACATAAGACATCGCTAAGTGTTTTGGGAAGATTTAATAGCGAAAAAAATCAGTGATATGGGCATCGTTGAGTGTTTTTCGCAGAGATTTAGCAGCGAAAGAAATTTTGATAAGATAGCTCAAGGTGGATTATTGTTAGTTCTTCGATATTTCTATGCTACTATCAGAATCTAAAGACATCAATTCAATAATAAAAGCATGTAAGCAAATAGATGGATGGACCAAAAAAAAATCCTCAACTGTCATAACATATGACATGTATATTTGATCCTTTATTTTCCATCACTTCTAACGATATCTATACCACTGAGAAAATACACTGTTTTGTATAGTATGAGTGGTATTCACTACCTCAAGGTTACAATTTTTGGAACAAAAACTACCTTTCCTGCAAATTCGATTTCTTTGTCGATTTTCTGTTATATGTGGGAGAACGCGGAAAGGCTTACGAAAGAAAACAGAGTTTTACAATTTCAAAATACGTATTCAATCCGAAACGAATATGTAGCATGTTGAATGTGTTCTAAAAATTTACAAATACCGCGGGCTATTGAAATGAAACTATTTTTGGCACAATACTGGGAGATTATTTTTTTGTTAACACTCGCTTTGCCAATTATTTGCATACCGTAATCGCACAGCGGTATGTAATCTACAGTAATCTTAGCTGCGCTGCAGTACACATCGCCTTGCATAAAATTTTCTTTGTCTGAAGACGCGAGAATGGGACTTTTTTTGGGGGGAGGGGGGGGGAGGAACACACGCACTGCGAAATTTTCACTGGTAGGCTATAGTCGTCTCTAATCCACAAAGGCATACTGTCACTGTTGCTGAACACACATTTTTTGATTTGATTTCTATCTCTGAATTGATGGAATGTCAGATTGCATTCCTAATTTTTCCTGTCATTTACTGCAGTCGCGTAGTTTACTTCCATAAATAAATGAATTCTTCTCAGTGTTTCAATTAGAATGGTTACGTGTTACTTTTTTCATTTATCAAAAAGGCGAGAAAAAGTTTGTCTTGGACATAGGGAAACAGGTTGCCGAATGTGTGTCTGTTTGAAAAATTTGGTGTAGCTGAGAAGTGCTGCTATTTTGGGTTTAAAGAGACTTTGAATTTGAACGAGATGTTGCAGCTTAGACAATTTTATCGGTATAAACTGATAATTTAGACAAGTAATTCTTAATCGGAAGTTTGGAGATTTTCTACTGACAGAAGTTGGAAGTTCAGAATTACTAACCAACTTCCGGGAGACTCTTTCTATGAGCATGATTCCATGAGTTTCGCTTATCTCGAACGTAATAATATGGTAATTCTACATTGCTGAAAAGACTTTAGGGAAAAAGTTCTTTGGAAATTTTTATTGCTTGTGGGCTGCTTATACCAGCATCACTTTTTCAGACTCTGTATATATCTCTGAAACTGTTAGCATAATATCATCGCAAAATTTTTACTAGATTTTTTTTGTTAAGCTTACAGCTTACGATGGCAATATCACTGAAAGATCCGTGTAAAACTAGTTGTAACGCTCAGCAACTACCCTATTCATAGTGTTTTTATCTATCTATCATTCATATCTCATGACAATTATTACCAGTTCCGTATTCGGCTGTCGATACATTTGCACGAATTTTTGACGTAAAGGGCTATCGCGTGCCCGTGCGCTCAATCATGTTAGATCATATGCCGGGCCATAACCACTCCACTTTGAAGTGCGGGACTTTGACACTTACGGGAAACCGTTGAGACTACGAAGATGCTAAGGGAGTAAGCAGCTTTTGCGGATGAGTGGGTCAGAAGTCTAGACTTCATTCAGGGTATTGGATGCATTGAAGCTTTGTTTAGAGGAGTTGGAAATGGGATCAAAGCAATTTCAAAGTGAAATGAAAGTAAAGCTTTTTAAGCGACATTCAAAACGTAAACAAAAAGCATTTTAATCCGCAAGTGCAAGCAAAGTTTACTTATATAGTGAAAAAACCATTTTCAGCCACAAAAATCCGCAAAGATCCTTGTTTGATTTGATTAACTTAATGCGTAAATGGGAAGGCGGGAAGTTCCGAAGATTTCTGCTATGCTCGGAACTTCCGACTAACTACCGCGCTACAATTAAATCCTTCCAAGTCAAACGCATTTGATCTCGCTTGCACTGATCAAAAATTATATTTAGCACTGCTTAGTTTCAGTACATTTTTTATTACAGGTGACTTCTTCCGACACCCTACTTGCAATTTATTAGGGCATCACGAATATCGTTCTCTTCTGCTCGCCGCTCATGCGCAATGGACAGCAAAAGAAGCGGCAAAATTGCTGCGTGCGGTTCAGTTCTTTGGCAAAAACGCTCATACCATCATGGTAATTAAACTTCTCCAATTGCGATCACAATTCATTGATTCTCCTTGCAGATCGATTCATCGATAGCTGAGCTTTGTGTGGCAGGACAATGTACGACAGACATACCGGCATGGTTCGCATTCCAGGCCGCAGCCGGTGGTACCGATCCAACGTCGGAGTGCGATGGGATTCAGGCTAGTCAAAAACTTCCATCTTCTTCAAAAGTATGCTGTTTACATCTCTCTATTTTCAGACCCCAGGATGGCTCCAAAGTGAAGCGAAATTCAACATGTCCACATATCTTAGTCAGTCTGATGGAGATTTACCGCAATGGAACCCGACAACGCAACGTATTCCATTAGGGCCGCTCTTCCCGAAAGCAAGAGAGGTACTTTCCATGATTGTCTATATAGATTCAGAAAGTATTGAGAAGAAAATGTTTTATAGAAGAGATATTGCACGTTTTCTACAGTATTATATGAATTGGTCTTTAAATGAATCTAGCTATTTCGGCTCTTCTTGGCTTTTTTCCCTTTCCGTCTTCACAAACTTTTGCTGTGCTTATTGCCAAATTCGTCTCCAAAATTTGTCGGCTAACACAATACTCTTTGAAGTGCTTGTTGGAGGATTTTTTTGCACAATTTGAAAAAATAAAAGAGAGCGAAAATTATCAAGTCTTTTGAAATTGATACATCTATTGATCATGTCGAATGATGTCATATATTCTTACGTGTCCAAAAATCAACTAAGCAGATTTTATAGAGGACTAGCTGGCTTACCCGGCTCCGCCGTATGTTCCGAATAGAAAATTCCATTTATTTATTTATTTATTA